AAAAAAAAAAAAAAAAGAGCTGGGTATGGTGGTATGTGCCTGTAGTCCCAGCTACTTGGGTGGCTGAGGTGGAAGGATCACTTGACTCAGGAGGCAGAAGTTGCAATGGGGAGATCACACCACCATACTCCAGCCTGGGTGACAGAGCAAAACTGTCTGGAAAAAATAAATAAATAAAAAGATACAAAGAAAAAGACCTAAATTGAACTTCTAGAAGTTAAAAATACAATTTTGAGGTGAAAAATACATTGGATGGGATTAATAGCAGATTAAATGCTGCAAAAGAGAAGATTAATAGACATGAAGACAAAACAGTAGAAACTATACAAAAGGAAACACAGAGAAAAAAATGTAAGTGAGAAAAAGGAAAAAGAAGAAAGAATCAGTGAGCTATGAGAAAGCTTTAAACCACCTAATAACATATGTACTTGGACTACCCAAAGGAGAAGAGTCAATATAGAAAAATTACTTGAAGAAACAAAGGTCAAAATATTCCAAATTTGATGAAAACTATAAAACCATAGGTCCAAGTTCACTTAATCCCAAACAAAAGAAACACGAAGAATATAATGTCAAGGCACATGAAAAGACATTCCCACCAGTGCCACAACAGTTACAAATGTCATGGCAACATTGGGAAGTTACCCTATATAGTCTAAAAGGGGGAGGAACCCTCAGTTCCAGGAATTGTCCAACCCTTTCCCTGAAATCCATGAATAATCCACCCCTTGTTTAGTATATCATCAAGAAGTAACGATAAGTATAAGCAGTTAAGCAGCCCACGCTGCTGCTCTGCCTATGAGTAGCCATTCTTTTATTCCTTTACTTTCTTAATGTATTTGTTTTCATTTTACTCTATGGACTTGCCCTGAATTATTTCTTGTGTGAGGTGTAAGAACCCTCTTGGGGTCTGGATTGAGACCCCTTCCCAGTAACAGTAACACTTAACTCATAAAGTTGTTGTGAGGAATAAATGGGATTATGTATAGCAAGGAGAGCTAGCAAATAGAACTCAACAAATACTATCTCTAGCTGTGTCTATGGGAGTGGAAGAGATTGGCAAAGGAGAGGGTGTACAATAAGAAAAGAGGTTCAAGAGCAGAACCATGGAGAACACCAACATTTAGCTTGTGTACTGGGTTGAATAGTGTCCTCCCCAAAATTTTTGTGCACCAGTAATCTTAGAATGTGACTATATTTGGAATTAGATCCTTTGCAGATGTAATCAAGTTAAGATGAAGTCATACTGGGTTAAGATGGACCCTAAGCCAGTAACTGATACCCTTAGAAGAGGGAGGCCGGGCGCAGAGGCTCATACCTGTAATGCCAGCACTTCGGGAGGCTGAAGTGGGTGCATCACTTGAAGTCAGGAGTTGAGACCAGCCTGGCCAACATGGCAAAACCCCGTCTCTAGTAAAAATACAAAAAATTAGCCAGGCATGGTAGCAGGTGCCTGTAATTCCAGGCACTATCTACTTGGGAGGCTGAGGCAGGAGAATCGCTTGAACTCAGGTGGCGGAGGTGGCAGTGAGCTGAGATCGTGCCACTGTACTCCAGCCTGGGCGACAAGAGTGAAACTCCATCTCAAAAAATAATAATAAAATAAAAATAAACAAGAAGAGAGAAATTTGTTCAGCAGAATACAGAATAAAAAAAAAAAAAGAAAAACAAGAAAAAAGGAGGGAAATCGACACAGAGACAAACACAGAAGGAAACTCATGTGAAGACACAGGGAGGAGTACATAATGTGAAAACTGCAGAGGCACAGGGAAGAAGGTCAAGTGATGACAGAGGCAGAGATTGGAGTTGTGTATCTAGAAACAAAGGAACATCAAGGATTGCCAGCAACCACCAGAAGCTAGGAAAAGGCAAGAAAGAAGGTCGGGCACGGTGGCTCACGCCTGTTATCCCAGCACTTTGGGAGGCTGAGGCTGGCGGATCACCGGAGCTCAGTAGTTCAAAACCAGCCTGGGCAACATGGTGAAACCCCTCTCTACAAAAAATACAAAAACTAGCCAGGCAAGGTGGCACACGCCTGCAGTCCCAGCTACTTGGGAAGGTGAGGCAGGAGAATAGCTTGAGCCCAGTCTGGAGTGCAGTGAGCCAAGGTTGCACCACTGCACGCCAGCCTGGATGACAGAGAGAGAGTCTGTTTAAAAAAAAAAAAAAAA